GGGGAATCGCTTTTCCCCTACGGTTGGGTGAAGTGCGAGGTCTCCTCGGCTCGGCGGGCTCCACCTTCGAGTTGCTTTGAGCAACAAAAAATAAGTTTGTGAAAGTAAACTTGAGGTGGAGTGAGCAGCAGGGATACTTTTTGCTATTTCTTGTTTTTGTTGTTTCTGTGTATGTTCTTCATAGTCACTGCATTTTAAGAACCTTATTGCAAATTACAAACTGAAACAAGCTTTCGGGCTTCTCTTCCCTGTGAGGGTGGTGAGGTGCTGGCACAGATTGCCCAGAGGAGTTGGGTAAACTCCCTCCCTGGAGGTGTTCAAGACCAGGTTGGTTTTGAGCAGGGTTCGGAACTAGATGGTCTTTAAGGTCTTTTCTGATCGTAACCATTCTATGATTCTGTGGCTTGTTGAAAATAAAAGTGAAGTTGCCTGCCTTGAAAAGAGTAAGGAAATCCAGGTGTAAAGGGTTAAAAGTAACTTACAAGTCTGGAAACTCATCTGCCTCTGTGAGACCACCCTGTTTGCAAACAGATCAGTTCCATGATCCTGACTGTGACGTGGGCTCAGGAAAGTTGGTGCCGGCACGAGAATGAGGGGAGGAATGAGATAGTTGTGAAGAAACTGGGCTCTCTTATAGCTGCAAAGGTTTTATGCAAGATTATCTGAGTATATGTATGGTCGTACACTTCCTTGGGCTCTCATAGCATTTGAATGCTTCACGATTGTATAGTTTTTGGATGTTATTGATTATTTGTTCAGTCTTTTGTGTATTAAGTCTTTCTGCAGCTTCTACTTTGATTTTAGTTGTGTGTGGGTTTTTTTAAATGCATCCACTAATGCAGGATGTCACGCTTATGTAATTCAGTCACCTCTCTTTAAGTGTATCGATACTGGTTTTCATTTGACTGCATGTATTACCTGCCTGCCTGGCAGGCACATCGGTTTTAGTATCCCGTTCTTGCTGCGGTCGGGGTGGTTTTGCATTTCAGATTTAGGCAGTGAAACCGAATCGTAGATTTAGATTAATCAAATGCTGTGCAGTTAAAACTGCAGGTTACTCTTTTGGTTGTATTACAGTCGTGGCTTCAATGAGCCTCTCTCAGCTTGGCGAGTGAAGTTTATTTTACCTGTAGCTGCAAAGAGTGAATTTCTTGCTCGAGTGGACAGATAAGGTTTGAGGATTTGTCCGCCTGGGGGAACTGTTACAGAAAGAGGAGGTTTGTGGGTTTACAAGTACAGCTTAACAGCTGCTCACAGGCTTCCTTACTCTGGAGCA